GCCAAAGCGCCCTTTCCACACGGCCCAGTGCTCGAGCCCCACCGCTTCAGTGAGGGAACATGTCAAAAGGTCACATGCCAAGTGCACATGAACGCTATGTTCACACCTGCCAAATGTCATAAATGTCACGACGCAAGCGCCCCAGAAGAAAGGTGCCAGCCAGAAGCTCTTCCAACATGGCAACAATCAGGGCCTGTGGATGGGCACTTGAGCCAAAATGGTTCAGGATGGTTTGAGGACAAGTGCCCATCCACCATCGTTCCGTTTTGTGCTTCATGATTGCACAAAAAGTCGAACCTCTACAAACTCATGTTTGTGTGTTTACAAGATTGGACCTCAACAACAGTATAGTACCTTTGTGAGGTAATTGCAGGGTCTGCTCTGGGCAGCTCCATAATAAGTGTGATGTTTTTGAGAATTTCGTTTGCACGACTTGGAGTGCTCTGAGCCCTACTGACCTTAGTCTTGTTTATGCCGGGAAACCATGAGTAACGTGTGTTCCACTTTCACTTCCAGCTCCTGGAGCAACACTTGCTGCTCCCGAGAAAGGATGATCTCCTTGGAAAGTTTGTGCCCATCCAAATAGCCTAAATGCTGTGAAGGAATCTGCAGATTGCCTTCAATTCGGGTACAGTATCTTATCTTAGCGTGTTGCTGGACGATGTCGCTTTAATGTTTCATAGCAATGCATTGCCATTGCAGAATGGAAGATGGACTTTGCTTGGTCCAGGCGGCATCAGGCCTGTCCACCAAGTTGCCATCTGCATTCAGCCATCCCTGGCTGTCGAACAATCTCAGACAGCTCGCCATGTGCCGGAATCTTTCAGCTTGGTTTGCCTCACACCTTTAGTCACTCTTGACTTATTGAAACCTTGAATTACACCTTCGTCTGGCAGTAGAAGTCACACTTGCATCCGTGCCTGTTGAGAAATCCAGCTGGTCGGCAACAAGGTGTCATCCCAATCAAAAAACCTTGGCTGCCACTGTCTCAATAGTATGCAAATGTAGAATGACAGGAAGCAAGCAACGTGTGAACAAGTGCATCTTTCTCAGGATAGTTCGAGCCTGTGTGACTGGTCCAAGCGGCACCAACGCATCTGCTGAGTCTAGACTGACGGGACTGTCTTCACCCGATGCTTCACTGCAGTCCTTTGTCGAGGTTTCGCTAAAATTGCCCGCTCTCGCTACATACGGAAATGCGGAGATCTACGTAGTTCAGCCTCTGATGGCATGTTTTTACTTTATATATTTACTGTTCTCAGTACTACTGTAATTTATATGACTCATATGACTCATGACTCATGATGTTGGTCTAAATTATTCTCAACCCCTCTTCATGCAACCAGTTTTCTTTCCGAAACACAATTGGTTTTCGCTAATTTGTTCAGAGTCAATTCGTGGCCCCCAAGTTTAACTTTTTGCGGTGGTCTTCTTGGTGCGACCCTTGCCGAACTCCTGCATGAGTATATAAACAAAACATTCTGCCTACAGAACAGCAATCAACATGTGAGCAGGGGTCTTCCAAGTGGGCTTTCACACTGTTTCCGTTTCAGTAGGCTTTCATGGCTCACATCAAGACTATACAAAAAATACATTTAACGTTCAAACAAAAGTACGTTCGCGAGTTTAGTTTGCAACTATATTATGTCAACTCAAGTCTTACAACAACAATGAAAAGCTCTTGATCGGCAAGATTGACTTTGATATAGAAAAAAACGCTCTGGGCTGAAAGCGCATCTGCGAGTGCACTTGCGCCGCCTGCGCTGATTTTGCCACCTGCTCACCCTGAGTCTCCTGCACCGCGCGTGCCATGTGCGCCGCCTACGCTTGGCTTGCACTCTGCTTTTGTTGGCCCGGACTGTTCACATTGCGTGCATTGAGCGAGTGCTTGCGGGGTGCCGGGCCCCGGGGCAGCTGCCCCGCTGGCATGTCCTGGACTGTTGAGTGCAGCGTCGACCCCTGGAAATGTGACTGCTCATCAATGCCCTGTGAGCACGTGTAGCTTTTGTGAAATCCCCGCGGCTACCCGCTTCTAAGTCATCATCAACAAGCAAAATCAGCAGCACTTTTTTTTCTGTAGACTGCACTTGGAACAGTCCATATCAACATCTCCTTCCTTCCGCAATGTGTCTCTATCATGTTGATCAGTAGGTGGTCTCTATTCCCTTACAGTAGTATATGGTAGGAGCAAGGGCATTGCTACTAGGAGCAAGGACGCTACTAGGGCTTAGGGGCTCCTGGCCTTACTACTAGGAGCAAGAAGCTATTAGCGTATTGTTTCTACTAGCTTCTTGTTACTACTAGTAAGGCACTTGTTAC